GTCAATCCATATGTCAAGGTGTCAATATGTCATATGTCAGGTGTCAATCCATATTGATTGTGATTTAGGAATGTTAGGTGATTTCTGCCCTTTATGGGTTAAAACCAGACTCTGTATCAACTGTGTAATTTTCCATGGGAGTTTTGCCATGGATCCCCCTCCGGCATGCCACAGTCCAGGTGTTAGTCCCCTTGAAACAACTTTTCCATCACTATTGTGGCCAGAAAGAGTCCCTGTGTGTTTTAAATTCGCCTGCCCATTGAAGTCTATGGCGGTTCGCCCGGTTCGCCGGTTCGCGAACATTTGCGGAAGTTCGCGTTCGCCGTTCGCGAACCGAAAATTTCGGGTTCGCGACATCACTACTCACCAATATCAGAGTATCAATAAACCATCACACTCACCACAAAATACGTACACACACAGGGCACCTAGCAACCACTTTCGTGGTCCCCCACAATGATCAAACCCTTACAATACTCACCAATATCACCCTTTTCCACAACGTAACCAAAATAATTTTCACCGCAACTATCACAATACTTCACCAATATATCACAATAAACCTGGACCCCAATATAAACACTCCTAAACCACAAAGATCAAAATATATCAATGATCATAAAGAATATGCTAACTATTCCAAATCACCCACGATCCCGAATCACCCCAAATAGATTACAACTACTGTCATTAGACTCTGAATTTGAAAATGAAGACCATTTTTTAGAAATTCGAACCAATCACACTACACTCGCCCAAACACCACACCCCTCACGCCCCAAAAAAAGGATTTTAAATTCAGAGGAAGAAGAAGTGGCAGACGCGAACAAAAGAGAAAGACTAGAAAGATAATACCTTCTCTTAATGGTACTAATGGAGGCATTTTTAATCTTTCACAAAAAAATTTAAATAGTGCACATCTAGCGGTTTTAACTAAAGGTCTTAAGTTTGCCCCTACTAATACTTTTAAATCTTTTGAAGCTTTTATTGATGTTAACAAATTTGTTCGAAAAGCGACTCTCAAAAGATTTTTTATGGAAAAAAACGAACAAAATGCTACCCAAACCCCGCCAATACCCTCTCGAAATGACAACATTATTAATACTTCTCTCAGAAAGAAATCTACCTTTTATCCTGCTCATTATAAATCTGCTCCCCTCACTATGTTTGAAAAACTTGTCACAAAAGATCTAGAAAAAATAAAAAATAACAAATACGACCCCCACAATTTAACTCATTCAGAAAAGCTAGCCTTAAAAGAACTTCAAAATGATGAAAATGTTGTTATCAAACCAGCGGATAAAGGTGGAGGAATAGTCATTCAATCAACCCAAATGTATATAGATGAGGCACTCAGACAACTAAATGATGTAAACGTATATGAAAGACTCACATCAGACCCCATAAAACAAATTCAAAATGTTTTTATTGAATTTTTAAATAAAGGTGTGGAGCAAGGTATTTTAAACAAACAAGAATTAAGGGTTAAGCAGATCTGAGGGTTTAATGTGCCAGGTTGGCCTTTTATGCAACTTTTGCCACAAGGTTACCACCCATGTGGACCTTGTGGGGCACGAAAAATACATTCAACAGCCAATAGTGTACAGTCACAAAGTCAAACACTCCCATTCATTTACAGTAAATTCCTCCCCTCTGCTTGGGAGACAATTGAGTAAATTAGCAAAGACAATGGACTAACTCAATTAACTCTAAGCAGAAAAAAACATACATTTTTAGAAACCCCAAAAAGTACCCCAAAATACAACATGTCCCCACAAACAAAATATCCAAAAATCACCCAGATTGGTTTATGGGTTCAGGAATTTCATGGAAGTATTATTTTTGCCCCACCGTGCACATAGTCCCATGCCCAAAACAGTTCCATACACTCGACGACAAAACACTGCTGGACAATTTAAGATGGCCACTGCCAAATGTTTGAATCCATTCCAGTTAAAATTCCAAGGGGCAGAAACAGTACCTTAAAATCCAATATGTCCAAATAGTCCTGGCAATACTTCCCAGGGGCCATAGTCCTGGGGCAAGAGGCTGGCAGTCAGGCCCCTCCAAAAGCCAGTGGTGAAGTGCAATTTGTCACAGGCCAGAAAGCCCAGCCGCAATACCGACTGTGCTCCCGGTCGAACAGAAAAAAGTTTCCAGCATTTAAACAGTTCCAGGAAACACAGGGGGTGATAGATGGTTATCTCGGTGATTTTGAATGGCAATGTGCACTACACAGAGTACCCACAGAGGAATGGGTTACCATTCTGTCAGGCAAGTTGTCAGGTAAAGCTGCCAAAGCACTCCGGGTTATCCCTGATGAGGACATACAACACTACCATTCAGTTAAAGAGGCTTAAATTACTCGTTATACCATGACCCCAGAGGCATATCGACAAAGATTTTGGATGTCAAAGAAGAAAGGTGGAGACTCTTATACGGAGTGGACATGCCGCCTACACCGTACCGCTTCACATTGGGTAGAAGTTTGTCTGATTACCAGCCTCCTGCCCTATAACTATAGCCCATGGCTAACACTGTGTTCCCAGACCGCAAAAAGCCTTTTTCATGCCTTTTTCCCTATGTGGTTCGGTAAATAGAGTTTACCGAACAGCCGGGCCACACGCAAGTGGAGTGTGTAGTCAATTTACCTCCCAGAAGCTGTGGTTAACAGCAAGCTAATTGACGAATGGCTCGGTGGCCGCCGTTCGTATAGTTGAACATGTGGTGGTGGCCATCTTGTTTAGTCGAACACTGTCAGCTGTGTTTTGCCGTCGAATTCATGGAACTCAAATCAGAAACGCGATGGCACGAACACCGCTGAACCTTACCTTTTTGTGAACTCCGGCAGGAATCGAGGGGTGTTCGACAATTCAAACACCACTTTAACTCTGGCTATTTGCAAGAACGGCCCCGTTCGTGCATTCAAACTGCATTTGAACTATGTGAAATATACTGACTGCACAGCCTAAATCTATGGAACTCTTTTGAGCATGAAAGCCATGCTTGCGGTCGGTCAAATATGACTTTCATGGAATTCGGGAACACCTGCTCTGATCTGGGTGATTTTTGGATATGTTGTTCACCCAGATCAGAGCTATCCATGGATGTATGATTTATGGGGATATGTTGTTGTTTTGGGGTGTTACCACCCACATGGACCTTGTGGGAAAATATGTATATAAGAAAGTCCTGTGTGCTCATTAAACCAGTTCTACTTGACCCTAAACTCGCAGCTATAATCACTACAGGGATTGCTATGCTCTGCAGCTTCACTGAGCTCTTGTAAGAGCTTGTTCGCGTTCCTGCTTCGTTCTCAAAAGGAAGAGAGGTTCACTACTGGAGCCTGGAGCCTTGTCGTAGGTCCAGGGTAGGTAGGAGATGGTGAGACAGGCTTTTAGAGTCTGTGGACTCACAGACCTACATGCCTCTAAAAAGTCTACCCTCTTAGACTCCAGTATACCGCTTGCAGAGGTGCCCTTTAAACTCATC